TACCATAAAAAAGGGGAAAACCTCATATTTTGGTAATGGCAAACGAGGTCCCATGATGGTTAAAAGGTGGAGCCGCGCTGGGAGATTGAGCAGGCGACTTCTGGATTGCATTACATCACAGCAACAGCATCCAGTTCTATAGGAACGGAGATTTCGCCGGGTCTTTCCGCGAATGCGACCCGGAAACTAGTTGGGCACCCTGCACACCACATCCAGTATACACCTCCTCGCTGCAGTTGTCGCGTCCTAGAACTCCCGGTCTACCAGCGACCCGAAACAACAACAAATGTCAGTGACAAATGAATCCCTCTGGGTGAATAGCACCTCGCCAAGGGCACTCCACTAACACGACTGTTGGCACTGGTGGGTGAAGGTAACCCCCCTCCCTCCCCACGCCGTGCGGGTCGTGCGGGTTGTGTGACGAGACTGGCCTCAACGTGCACATGGCCTGGCACAAGCGCCGTGGTGACGTCACCGCCACTTAGTGGCGAATGGGGGCTGTTTGTGACGAAACTCCAGCCGCGCTGACCAGTGATGGGGGGGGGGGGCATTGTGAGTACACCGGTTCTAACGAATATCAAGTCTCCACTGATTGTAGCCGTGCGCCGGGAATCCAACTCGGGGCTGTTACATTTGTAACAGCCCTTTTCGCAATCCACTGCTGGATGATGATAATGATGTTGTTGTTGAAGGCCCTCTCCAAGCCGTCGGTCATGTCTCACGCCTCTGCGACGTTAACCATCCACCCAGAGTAGCTTGCACGCGAGTTCAATTGATGGCTCCATCTCCCCCTTCCTCTGTGGACTTTCTGTCCCATTCCTTGGCCGCCACTCCGTCACTATCTCTCGACCATCGGTCGTGACGGGTCATGCCCAAGCCCCACTGACTTCTATTCCCAGTTTGAGCGATGCCATTAAGGTGCGCAATCTAATAACCCACGTGGTTCCTCGTCTCTCTGTCCCTCGATCTCATTCCAAGCTTGCGCATCTACAACGCTACTTCTTGATGCACTTTGTGAGTGCGCCGGCAGACCCGAACGATAGCGCGCGACATTTCACGAGTTTGCTACATACAGTTCTTACGCAGGATGCAGAATGTTAATTATCACTTAGGATCAAAATGAGTGCAACTTGTTCACGTTAATGCGATAATTGGCCTCGAGCACCGACTCCCACGACCGACGTGAGTGGACAATTTGTATTGGACAGCTGTTAATTGATACCTTAATTGGTTATTGGACAAATGGATTTCCCTTAATGTACGATTAAACAATGTGTATATGTTGAACTTGGGTTGCTGGTTCGCATGCCCCGTGAGAGATGAAAACGGCTTGGAGAAGCCTTGATCCAACAGAAGCTAGATTAATGGCTGGCAATGAGATGTGTTTAATTGTTCAATGTAGTTATCGTCGTCGGCATCAGTCATGCTCATTCCACTGCTGGATGAAAGAAGGCATCTCTGCGCCGTCACCATCTCTCAGGACCCTGGGATTATAATTATAATAAGTATATTTATATAGGGCCGTTCATCGATGAACTGTACAAAACACAGCAACAGCATCAACATAACTGGTAAAAAAAAAACTCGGCATAATAATTAAGAAATGCTAAAATCCATTTACTTAATTAACATTGATGTAAGAATCCTGTTTAGTACGAGCGCACGGTACTGCGATTTAATCGCTCCATCTCCTCGATGGACGGAGGCTCCTGCTGCTGCTGTTGGCGGTAGCCAAGAGCGCCCGTTTGTCCCGCGAAATCAAAAAATTTCCAGGTGTCCCTTGAGAAATAATGGAACGAAAGCCTCGGTTGCATAAACCGAGGTCGTTGAAGACATCGGAGGGCATCGCGCAAAGGTGAAATAAAGGTCACGTATGTAATGCATTGGCCCGGGACATTTTTTTAATACTTTACTGCCTTACAAACCGACTGCAACGGCACGAAATAATATTCTCCGAGTAGACTTTACAGAGGGCCCTCTCTCTACCTGGCAAATTTAATCCCGAAAATGTTAAACACGCGACGTATGCTTTTATCAGGTTTAAAAATAAAACGTTGCCCGCTTCGCCAGGTTATCGTGATTTTATTTAAATTGGCACGGGGCCTTGTTTGTTGGATCGCAGATGGCTTCATAGCGGCGGATTTGTGAGTGGCAACTACTTGTTGATTGTGTAATTGTGGCGTGTGCGTCTTTGTGTGCGCGCGTGTGTGTACCTTTATTGTGTGTACCTGCGTATCACGTGTTCGTGTGCTGCTCATGGAAAATGTTGACCTTGCAGGCGAAAGTTGGGTGACATTCACCTCTGCGGGGTCGCGTGTTGTTATCCCTTTGTGACCGCTCTCACGCTGCAATTCGTAACCTTATACAGACGACCTTTTTGCCAATCCATTGATGAAGGTCAATATGATGTCTATGTAAGTTACGTAGATTCTCTACCCCACGTGAACCTTCTTGAGACCACCTGCACGCGTTCTCTAACCCATTGACAATCGAATATTGATTCCAATTTATGATATAATTGGAAAACATTTGCCAAACTCCACGATTGGATGAAGGTCGCCAGCAAAGCAGACAACTGTTCGGCCGAACTTCACGCTGCTGGCTCGGTGCGGGTTGTTTAGGGGGTGAGTTCGGGGTGGGGTTCAGATATGACTCGCCACTGATGTTAGCCGTGACCGGGCCCACAATGCAGCGCGCAAAACAACTTCACGGCAATTCGTCCCTGCAACTCGTCCCATCGTCAACCAACCCTGCAACTCGTCCCATAGTCACCCAGCCCTGCAACTCGTCCCATAGTCACCCAGCCCTGCAACTCGTCCCATCGTCCACCAACCAGCCCGGCAACTTTCCCTCTGCCCGCGCACGTTGTGGTTGAGGGGAGTCGTTCGTCGTAAACGTGGTCCAATGGTTACAACGTCCCATGTTTATTGGGCTCATCCAGCAGTGGGTTGACCACTGTTGGCTGTGAAAGATAAAGATCCCCCGTATAGCCCTAACAGAGTGTTGGGGCAAGTGCTCTTTGTGAGCACCTATGCAGGCCGGCACGGGACACGAGAGAAGGTGGGTGGCCAGCACCACGTCCGGCCGCCTTTGTCTCTCTATTGGCGATGTTTACACACCGCGCCAGGCACTCATTGAGGCCGAGTCGACCTAGGGGAGGCCCAGGAACAGGTTCAGATAATCGTCACCGGTATTGACCGTGAATCGAACTCGGGCCGCCCGGGTCCGTAGCGCAGCGCGCTAACCCGCTGCAACGACCGCTCACGCACGTGTACACACGCACGTATACACACGCACACGCGCGTGCACACACACACACGTGTACACACACGCACGTGTACACACACGCACACGCGCGTGCGTGTGTGCGCACGCGCGCGCGTGTGTGCGCACGCGCGCGCGTGTGTGCGCACGCGCGCGCGTGTGTGCGCACACGCGCGCGTGTGTGTGTACACGTGTGTGTGTGTACACGCGCACGTGTGTGTGTGTACACGTGTGTGTGTGTACACGTGTGTGTGTGTACACGCGCACGTGTGTGTGTGTACACGTGTGTGTGTGTACACGTGTGTGTGCCAACGTAGACCCCGGGCCACGCGCGAGTTTCCAGTTCGCCCGTTGGAGACGAATTCACCACCGAGGGTCGCAGCCCCCACAGCGCCACGCGCCGCCTGGATCGTGAATAATAACCACGACGACCACGACAACGACGCCGCTGCCGCTGCTGCTGCTTCTGCTGTTGCTTCTGCTGTTGCCGCTGCTGCTGCCGCCGCTGTTGCCGCCGCTGTTTAACGCCACGGGCGCCGTGAAGGCGGCGATGGTGACGGCTCGGACGAGCGCTTAGCATCTGCTCGGGTCTGACGCGGAGAAGGAAGCAGCAGGAGGAGGAGGTTGGTGCCGCTGCTGCTGCTGAGTGGAGGCCGTCGCCCGTGACTCGGGGTGGGGGGGTGATGGGTGTGGGGGGTGAGGGGGTGTGGGGGGTGGTGTGGGGGGGTGAGGGGGTGGTGAGGGGGGTGGGGGTGATGGGTGTGGGGGGTGTGGGGGGTGTGGGGGGGTGTGGGGGGTGTGGGGGGGTGTGGGGTGATGGGTGTGGGGGGTGTGGGGGGGTGTGAGGGGGGTGAGGGGGTGGTGAGGGGGGTGGGGGTGATGGGTGTGGGGGGTGAGGGGGTGAGGGGGTGAGGGGGTGTGGTGGGGTGATGGGTGGGGGGGGTGAGGGGATGGGGGGGGTGAGGGGGTGGGGGGGGTGATGGGTGGGGGGGGTGAGGGGGTGGGGGGGGTGAGGGGGTGGGGGGGTGATGGGTGGGGGGGGGTGAGGGGGTGGGGGGGTGAGGGGGTGGGGGGTGAGGGGGTGGGGTGATGGGTGTGGGGGGTGAGGGGGTGGGGGGGGTGATGGGTGGGGGGGGTGATGGGTGTGGGGGGTGAGGGGGTGGGGGGGGTGATGGGTGGGGGGGGTGATGGGTGGGGGGGGGGGTGGGGGGGGTGATGGGTGGGGGGGTGATGGGTGGGGGGGGGTGAGGGGGTGGGGGGGTGATGGGTGGTGGGGTGATGGGTGGGGGGGGTGAGGGGATGGGGGGGTGAGGGGGTGGGGGGGGTGAGGGGGTGGGGGGGTGGGGGTGAGGGGGTGGGGTGATGGGTGTGGGGGGGGGTGATGGGTGGGGGGTGATGGGTGTGGGGGGGTGAGGGGGTGGGGTGATGGGTGTGGGGGGTGAGGGGATGGGGTGTGGGGGGGGGTGATGGGTGGGGGGGACAGATGCCCCCCCCCGGGTTGGGCTCCTGGTCGCCGCCCACAGCGAGTCGAGAGCCTCTCGCGTCACGCGCAGGAGCCGCAATAAAGAGGGGGAGGCGGGCGGCTGCTGCGCCTCATTCGGGCTGCTGCTGCTGCCGTGGTAGCTGCAGGTGTAGCTGTAGCTGCTGTAGGTGTTGTATCTGCTGCAGCTGCTCACAGCTGGCGGGGTAAGCGGCCTGCGGCTGCAGAGAGAGAGAGAGACGTTTCTCATTCATCAGTGGGGTGTGGGTGGGTGGGTGGCGGTGGTGGGGGAGGTTGTGTGTGAAGGCGTCTATCATTAGTAGTATTGTTGTTGCTGTAATAAGAAGAAGACGGCGGGAAGAGGGTGAGAGGGAGAGGCCGTAGAGAGAGCAAAGCTGTGCGGACGAGGTGGGTGCCTGCAGACACACACACAGACACACACATCATACATACACATCATACATACATACAGACACATCATACATACAGACAGACATCATACAGACATACAGACATACAGACACATCATACAGACATACAGAGACATCATACAGACATACAGACACATCATACAGACATACAGACACATCATACAGACATACAGACACATCATACAGACATACAGAAAAATAATACAGACAGACACATACATACAGACACACGCATAATAGACAATACACACACACATCACACCGCAACACACACACATCATACAGACAGACACACATCACACCGCAACACACACACATACATACAGACACACACCGCAACACACACACGTAGAGAGACACGTGGACGCACACGTGAAACGCGTAGACCCGCGCGCACAAAGACAAAGATCCCCCGTGTAGCCTTCACAGACTGCTGGGGCAAGTGCTGTCAGCGAGCACCTATAGAGGCCGGCACTGTGGCACACGAGGGGGTGGGTGGCCAACACCACGCCCGGCCGCCTTTGTCTCCCCAGTGGCGATGTTTACACACCGCACCGGGTACTCATTTGAGGCTGAGTCGACCTAGGGGAGGCCCGGGACCGGTTCAGATAATCGTCACTGGCGGTGTTGGCCGTGAGCGGGAATCAACCCCGGATCGCCGGGTTCGTAGCGCAGCGTAGCGCTAACCGCTGCACCACCGCTCCCCACTAAACTTACATAGACGCACAGTCACACACTTACATAGACACACACACAGTCACAGACTTGCATAGACACACACACAGTCATATACTTACATAGACACACACACATTTATAGACTTACATAGACACACACACAGTCACAGACTTGCATAGACACACACACAGTCATATACTTACATAGACACACACACATTTATAGACTTACATAGACACACACAGTCACAGACTTACACACACAGTCATAGACTTACATAGACACACAGGCACAGACTTACACACACATTTATAGACTTACATAGACACACACAGTTATAGACTTACATAGACACACACACAGTCACAGACTTACATAGACACACACACAGTCACACACTTACACGGTCACAGACTTACATAGACACACACACAGTCATAGACTTACATAGACACACACAGTCACAGACTTACATAGACACACACACAGTCACAGACTTACATAGACACACACACAGTCACACACTTACACAGTCACAGACTTACATAGACACACACACAGTCATAGACTTACATAGACACACACACAGTCACAGACTTACATAGACACACACACAGTCACAGACTTACATAGACACACACACAGTCACAGACTTACATAGACACACACACAGTCATAGACTTACATAGACACACACACAGTCACACACTTACACACACAGTTATAGACTTACATAGACACACACACAGTCACAGACTTACATAGACACACACACAGTCACACACTTACACACACCGTTATAGACACACATTTATAGACTTACATAAGCAGTCGTATACAGTACGTGCATAGTAATCGACTTGCACCACGCACACACAGACTTGTGTACTGTATACAGCATGCTGCTGTACTGTACTGCTATGGTCCTCGCGTTAGCCAAACCGTACTGACCAGAGTGGTGAAGTATGGTCATAAACCACAGACTTGGAGGGGGGGGGGGGTGGAGGCCCTCATCCAGCAGTGGGTTGACAAAAAGGCCGTACAATGTACGTTAGACGCGCATACATACAGACACACACACGTACATACAGACACACACACGTACATACAGACACACACGTACATACATACACACACGTACATACAGACACACACACACATACAGACACACACACACATACAGACACACACGCATACATACAGATACAGACACACACGCATACATACAGACACATACACACGCATACATACAGACACACACGCACATACACACACACACGCACACACGTACATACATACAGACACACACACGTACATACAGACACACACGTACATACACACACACACGTACATACAGACACGTACACACGCATACATACAGACACACACGCATACATACACACACGTACATACAGACACGTACACACGCATACATACACACACGTACATACAGACACACACACGTACATACAGACACACACGTACATACAGACACACACGTACATACAGACACACACGCATACATAGACACATACACACGTACATTCAGACACACACACACGTACATACAGACACACACACGTACATACAGACACATGCACACGTACATACAGACACACACACGTACATACAGACACACACACGTACATACAGACACACACACGTACATACAGACACATGCACACGTACATACAGACACATACACACGTACATACAGACACACACGTACATACAGACACACACACGTACATACAACAACAACAACAACCGCCATTCGCCACTAAGTGGCGGTGACGTCACCACGATGCTTGTGCCAGGCCAAGTGCACCTTGAGGCCACGTGAAGTGTCGAAAGCCCGCTGGCAGGAGGTCACGGGGCAGACCCAGGTGCCACTGGTCGACTGACCGAGATGACCGAGATGACTGGCTGATGCACCACCTGTGCCCCCTACTGTGCCAACTTGCTGTGCTTTAGCCACCCGGCGCTCCGCTCGTTGTTGTGAGCGTCGCTCCTCCGCCCTCCGTTGTTGTTGGAGGGCGACTGCCTCCAACTGCCCAGTAGCGTCCTTCACGAGCCTCCTCCACTGAGGCCGATCTTGACACCGCTGGTACCAGTCATCGGCAAGTCCACTCAGCTCCACGTCCTCCTGTACCACATCACTCCATCTCTTCTCCAGCCCGTGCCGCGCCCGTCTAGCCCCCTCGATCCGGCCGAACAAAAGCTGTTTAGGCATGCGGTGGCTGGGCATGCGGGCTACATGACCCAGCCAACGCAGCCTTGCCTGCCGGAGGAGCTCACTGATGGGACTTTGCCCAGATCTTTCAAGGATTTGTGAGCTCCTCACACAATCCAGCCTGGTTAAACCCAGGATGGATCGTAGGCAGGCCAGCCTAAATGTTTCCAACCGGCGAAGATGCTCCACCAGGGGGGTCCACGTCTCGCAAGCGTAGAGAAGGGAGGGAATGACCGTGGCCGAGAAGACCTGAAGCTTCGTGCGGAGCGACAGACCAGGTAGCTTCCACACAGCGTTACGCAACCGATGAAAAGATATTGCCGCTCGACTGATTCGGAGTGAGACCTCTGCTGATAGACTGGAGCCGGTCATAAGCACACTGCCCAGGTATGGGAAACTCTCCACTCTCTCCACAACTGCCCCATCACCAATTGGGAGTTGTGGGGGTGGAGTGTCCGATGGTACAAAATACCCAGGCAGGTGCTTGGTTTTGGTGGGGCTGATGGTAAGGCCCCACCTCTTAGTGGCACGCTCCAGTCTCAGCAGCAGCGCCTCCAACTCCTCTTCTGAATGAGCAGCTATTACCAAATCATCGGCATACATAACGTGGTTGACCAATAGGGAGCCATCCCTTGATCGCACCCGGGCGTCGATCAGCCTCCCATTATATCTGTACCAAACGGAAATTCCCCCGGTACAGCTATTGAAGGCTTCACGAACTACGCGGTCAAAATAGATGTTAAATAATGTGGGAGCCAGAGGACATCCCTGTCGCACCCCAAGGTGTACAGGGAAAGGCTCCGACTCCCGGCCACGTAGTTTTACCCGGGCCCGCTCACCATCATGAAGGTCCTTAATGATCGTGAGCAGAGGGTCAGGGACTCCGAAAGCACGAAGAACAACCCAGAGTCCAGTCCTACTGATGGTATCATAGGCCTTGACCAGGTCAATAAAGCAGAGATGTAGGTCTTTTTGGAATTCCCTACACCTCTGCTGTAGCAGACGGACAGAAAATATGGCATCTGTGCAGGACCGCCCTTTCCTGAAACCGCATTGGGGCTCCGCAAGCCCCTCCTCAGCGTGCCTAGCAAGGCGATGTTGAATAATCCTTGCCAGGACCTTACCCGGCACACTGAGGAGTGAGATGCCCCTGTAGTTGTTACAGTCTGTGCGGTCCCCCTTCTTAAAGAGGGGGACCACCAGGGCATCCTTCCAGTCCTGCGGAACCCGTCCAGTGGTCCAGACTGTTGTTATGATGTCATATAGGGCAGTCTGTGCACAAACGCCACCCTCCCTCAGCATTTCGCTTGGGAGATCATCTCTGCCCGGTGCCTTCCCTGGTCTCAGACTCCGGATCGCCCTCAGTACTTCCTCAACAGCTGGAACCTCAGCCAGCCACTCACAGGGGGTGACCTCTTCCAATATTTGAGGCACCGCAGCCTCAGCAGGGTTATCCCCACTTTGTGCCATGATGTTTTCCTGGCTGACACATGCACACGTACATACAGACACACACGCACATACAGACACACACACGTACAGACACACACGCACATACAGACACACACGCACATACAGACACACACACGTACATACACACACACGTACATACACACACGCACATACAGACACACACGCATACATACAGACACACACACGTACATACAGACACACACACGTACATACAGACACACGCATACATACAGACACGCACACACACGTACATACAGACATGTACACACGTACATACAGACACACACACAGTGCTAGACTACCGTGTAACATGCACTTTAGTCAATCCACTGCTGGATGAGGGCCTCCCCGTGCCACGACTGTCTTGGGGGGGGGGTACATCTGTGACCATACTTCACCACTCTGGTCAGTGCGGGCCGGCGGGGGGGGTACAATAGTGGGGGTTGCTGCTGCTGTACCCCACCCCCACCCGTACAATGCAAAGACAAGACAAAGATCCCCCGGGTAGCCTTTAAAAGACTGCTGGGGCAAGTGCCACACTGCCGGCCTCCTCAGACTCCGCAGTGCCGATGTTTGTGCACAACGCACGAGGT